GCCCCCGGCGCAGAGACCCGCCCGGCCCCCTCGCCCGGCCAGGCCCGGCCCGGCCCGGCCCGGCGCCCGCTGCCGCCTCACCTCTTCGCAGGGCTCCTCCGCCGGGCGTTGGCAGCTCGCTGCGGGGTCTCCTCGGCTGAGCAGCAGGGGCGGCGCGCTGACGTCAGCGCGTTCCTGCAGAGGCGGGGCCTCGGGCCGGGGAGGGGCCTTGCGCGGCGGGAGGCCGCGCTCCGCCCCGCGGCGCCCGCGGGCGCCTCCCTCCGCAGCTCTTCCTTTCTCTTCTCTTTGCCGGGGGGAGCGCTCTGCGTCGTCGCCCTTGCTCCGCCGCCGGCTCCAGGAGCCAATCCTGCCGGGCTCCGGGGGTTTCTTCCCCGGGAGTGCTTGCGGGGCGGGGGTAGCCGGTAGCCGGTGGAATGCAGCAGCGCAGAGGGGCCAGGGGGCTCCCGGCTTTCCGGTCCCCGGACCGTCTGAGAGGCACCTCGCAGCGCGGGGTCGGAAGGCAATGAAATGCAAGAGGCGACGGGGCCCCCGGCGATCCTGGTTCGAGGCGCCACTCAGTCATGAAGCCCACCGGTTGAATTCGGGGCAGTCATTCACTCCCAGCCGCGCCTACCTCGCAGGGGTGTTGTGCGGATAATATAGAGTGGGATGTACTGTAGGTTCAACCTCAAACTCCCCTTAATTTTCCGTGAAGTAGGCTGGAGTCCACAAAAACATATGCCAGAATAAATTTTATTCCCCTTAAGGTACCGGATTGCATTGCTTCTTTTAACTCCTCCAGAGAAGAGGTAGCCTGGGGTAGAAAAATGCTACAACTGTGACGTTGCAGATTTATGAGTTAGTGGAAAGGCACGGTTATAATGCGCATTCTTTCACTTTTGCTTGTTGTAACATACAGTCCAGTTGTCTCCGATTTATGGCAGCCCTCTCAATGGATGCTCTCGAAAATGACCGATCCTTGACAGCCCTATTCAGCTCTTGCAAGCTCTGCAAGCTCTTGCAGCTGCAAAAAAATGATAAATGTACGTTGACATTTTGGAAGCAGTTTCTTAATCATAGGAGGTGATAGTTCCACGTTGCCCTGTAGTCGTTCCATCTCAAATATTGCCTCCAGTTCTGGACAACACACTGTAAGACGCAGATGAAGTGCAACAAGTTCAGAGAAAGGCAAGAAAGGGGATCAGGGGAGTGGAAAGTACAGTAAAATCCTACAAGGGAAGATTGAAGGAACTGGGTATGTTTGGCCTTGAGATGGCCAAGGAGTGCTTTGCTAGCATTTTTCAAGTCCTTGAAAGATTACCGCCCAAGCAGATCTTTAAAGCAGACTTCCCAAATGCACAAGCCTTAGGTCTGACACCCTACACGAAAGAGAAATAGCACAGATGCGTGGAAAGAGTGCCTTGCTTACATCTTGGCACAGCGGCCGTTTCCGCATAAGAGCCCAGAACGCTTCTCCGCAGCGAGCATCCCGCAAGCAGCCTTTGTCCATGGCAAGACCACCCTTGGGAGCCTCCGCTGGCATTCTTGAGATCGGCGGGAGAGGCCCTTCTCCGGGAGCCCTCCGTGAAAGAAATTAGGAGGGTAGGTACTCGAAGGAGGGCTTTCTCTGCGGTGGCGCCTAAGTTATGGAATGCGCTCCCCAGAGAGGTCCGCCTGGTGCCGTCGTTATTTGTTTTTCGGCGCCAGGCGAAGACCTTTTTATTTAAGCGGCATTTTAATTGTTAATAGTATTGGATTTTATCTGGCCAGGGCGGCTTATTTTATATTGGTATTTTTGTATTTTTAACTTAATGTTTATATTTTTTAAAGTTATAATTATTTTTTAACTTATTGTTGTAAGCCGCCCCAAGGCTTCGGCGAATGGGGCGGCATAAAAATGTTTTAACAAATAAATAAATTCTTTCCGCCTGCAAGCGAGCAAGGACACGAGGAGCAAAATCAATGACAAAGATGAGGCAAGGCAGCAGTCAAGTAGGTTTGCTGAAGGATGGGTCCCACGGAGGGTGCCAGGGCAGCCCAAAATCTGGGGCCGCCCATGGTGGCATCAACTGGGCAGCTTGCTGCTGTGGTCGGTTGGGCAGACGGATGTCTTACACCAGGTGGCATGACTCAGAGGAAGCCGGGGGGGCGGGGGGGGGGCTTCTCTCACTGGGTATTATTTTTGTTGGGTGTTTATAGGCTCAGAGATGAGAGGCACAGATATGGGTTGAAAAGCAAGCAGGGGAACCATTTTTCCTCTTTGATTTTTTAAGGCATTCAGAGCAGTTGTGGAGCATTAAAAGGATCTTCGGAAGCGTCGAAGTTTATTTGTGATACCTTTAAAATATTTTTAATCATTTGCAGGAGTGGGGGGGGGTCACAGGAGAAGCGTACATTGTCCATTTCTGTATTATGACAAGTGCTTTGAGTAGAAAGAATCAGAAGGCAGCTAGCTAAGAACATTTAAAGCAAAGAATTAAGGCACTATTAATGTCATATTTGTGGTATCTTCCCAAGAGTTACACAGGTCTCATCACAGCCAAACATGAATGTAACAAATTATATGCTTCAGAAAATGATTTTTTTTATTTAAATAGTGCCAGCAAAGATTTTGGAAAGAGTGCTCTTAGTCTCTAGAACAAAACATATTAAGTAACAAAGCATTCTCTGTTTGGGATTACTATGTATATCACAAACAAAGGATATAATATTTTGTTGATTAATAAACACTAGGTCTAGAAATCAGCCTTGTCAAGTTCCACCTTTTATAGCTGCAATTTTTCTCATCAGCCAATGCTATAGCTCTTTTTTCTAGAGAGAACAAATCTCCCTCAGATGTCATGAGCAGGTTGCCTATTTGCTTTACCTCTTTTTCTGCAAAGTAAAGAGATACTGTTAAATCCACAAAACTGAGGAAAGCACCTGATGAACTGGTGAAAACTTCCCAGAAAAAAACCTCCTAGCTCTAATCTGATTGGACATATCTATAAAGCCTTTTAAAATACATCTCTGACTTCCTCTTTTAACAAGGCTTACATAACCATTCCCCACCAGCTGGGAAAAGTTCATGCATTGTGCTCTAAATATAGGCTCATTTCCTTCTTGAATGACAATGCCAAGATATTGACCGCTATTGATTCCACATATACACCATACTCCCGTCCATCCAGCCTGTGGGGGTTCTTACAGGGGGGCCTTAATGAACTGTTAGCTTTGAAGGAACAATCCTACAGTGAAGCCCTCCTTAGAGGGAAAAAATTAATCAGATGTCTGATCCGAGTACTTGCACCCTGCCCTTCAAATACCCCTTTTTGTCATTTCCTCCAGAAGGAATTTTAGCACCATTCAGAGGAGATGCGCTACCAAAGCTGGGAAAATTGTCCCATTTCTTGCATCCTCTCCCCTCCCACAGGAAAAGTATTTCCCTTCCTCAAAGGCCATTATTTCAGCCGTAGGAAGCAACTAGCCCAGTGTCGTGAGCGAAGCTGGCTGGTGCCGGAGGTCAGACTAGATGGCCCGGGAGGCCCCTTCTGACTCGCTCTGTTTCTGTGTTTCTGTGCTTTCAGTGATTGCTCTAGGGAGGAATGCGAATGGGCAGACACCTTTTCAAGGTCACTGCAGTGTGTTTGGATTCAGGAAGGAGACTCCAGAGGATCGCAAGTTCCCCAGGGTGATCTCTCGGGACCAAGGGGCTTCTTGAAACGTTAGCCCATTGATTGAATAGGCTTACTTTTCCAGGAGCAAATCCAGTTGCCATCTTCTCTTTGGATGACAAGAAATGCTTTTAAACAGCACACATGCATTGCGTCACAGTCCTTCAATCCTGATCACCAAGGGTGTGTTGCATTCTTCCATTAAGCTACGCAAGGCTGTCTCTTCTCCTGTTTACTTTTTCTTTTAGTGTTGAAACCGTTTGCTTGGGCTTTTAGATACTCGGAAAATATTAAAGATATTAGATGAATGGAAGCTGAGGATGAGGTGCATTTGTAAGTCTATTTATTTCAGATGGTGCAAAACAGAGCAGCCAGGTTGCTGACGGGGACTGGGCGTTATTCTCATATAACCCCAGTCCTCTCTCAGCTCCATTGGCTTCCCATCAAAGTCCGGGCTCAATTCAAGGTGCTGGTTATTACCTATAAAGCCCTTAACGGCTTGGGACCTGGATACTGAAGGAGCGCCTTCTTCCAGATTTGCCCTCCCGCCCCTTGAGATTGGCGGCACAGGCCCTCCTCCAGGAGCCCTCCGTGAGAGACATTAGGAGGGTGAGTACCTGGAGGAGGGCCTTCTCTGCAGTGGCGCCCCATCTGTGGAATGCGCTCCCCAGAGAGGTCCGCCTGGCGCCGTCGTTATTTGTTTTTCGGCGCCAGGCTAAGACCTTTTTATTTAAACAATATTTTAACAACGCTTAACATCTATAGGTTTTAATTGTGCAGCCAGGGTATTTCCGGGTTTTAATTGTATTTGTATTATGTTTATTTATTTATGTGAGCTGTCCCGAGGCTATAAGCGATGGGACGGCACACAAAAATTCTAAATAAATTTACAGTGTGGGAACATTTGGACATCGCAGCCCATCTTGGCCTTAAGTCATGGTGGGCTGGTTGTTGAGCAAACAACACACACTGTACCGGGCTTAACCATGGATGATGATGATGATGATGATGATGATGATGATGATAATAATAATTCACCTCAGCCGTCCTCCTTGGTCCTCCCAGGGGACCCTGCTAGAACTGGCTTGACTTCCCCATTCCCACTACGACCACGAACTGCTTCAGGCTCTTCTGTTCCCTTACCCCCCTTTTTTCCCCAGAGATCCCAAAATCTGGCTTAACAGACAAGTTTCACTTTTGACAGCCCCTTGGAGGGGCTGCGTAGCGAACTATTAGCAGTGTACACACCATCTGCACACATTGTCATGTCATTTATTCCATGCATCTTTGCATGCGTGCAAAAATGGGAACTCTCTTCTGGGCAATGCTGAGGACCAGCTGCACTCAGAGAACAGCAGGAGCCCATCCTGGATATTTGCCCAAAGAGGGCCCAGATGTTTGTTGTTTTTCCCTGTCTTTGCTTCCTCCCGAGAGCTGTCCAAAAGCACCTACTGGCGGTTAAGTATGCCTGCAAAGAGCGTGGATGAAAAGGCAGCAAATGATGTTAGTGCTGGAATCTTTGCAGTTCCAAACATCCTCAGCACCTTTGCCCAAATCCCACTTCTCCTGGTTTTCAGGCGAGACAGCCAGTGTGGTATAGCGGCTAAGAACGCACAACTGGGATTGGGCAATGTGGTTCTAGCCCCTGCTCAGCCATGGAAGCAACTGGGTGGCCCTGGACCAGTCCCGGACTCTTGGCCCAACCTACCTCGCAGGACTGTTGTGAGGATAAGATTGAGCGCAGCAGGCGGAGAATGTTGTCAGCTGCTTTGAGTGCTTCCAAAGGAAAACGTGGGTTATAAATGCAATAAATCTCAGTCTCGCTTTCCTGCTTTAAGCAATGCTTCTGCTAATAGCAGGGAACGAATTGGAGGACTAGCGGGTGGGGAGGGGGACCACCTTGAGTGTCAAATAATTTGAGTGATCCACTGCAGCTTATGACACCAATAGGCTGTGATCCACAAAGCTGTTTTGCCACGGATGAGCCCAGAACCTCCCAAAGCTGTTACAGATCTTTAAGACTGGGCTGAACAGGTTCTCCTCTCTCTGATCTCACCTTGCTGAAATGCAAGCAGAACAAAGAGAACTCTCTTCTTCTACAGCTTGCTATTGTATCACCGAAAGTCGCCTGGGCAATGAAACAGATTAAGGCGGAAATGAGACACCTCCAAAAAGCCTTTTTCTCTTTTGGACTCTAAGGGAAAATCTGAATAGTAATTTTTTTCGCAAGAAATCCCATGTTCAAAACACTTGTACTCAGTGCTCTGGGTGAAAAAACCAACAGCGCCCCCAACTCCAGTGGTGAATTCGACAGTGACTCCAAGTTGCGTAGTTTACGCAGGATTTTAAAACCTTACACCAGAAATGAGCTGGGAATTTTCCAGGCATTCCCAGCAATGAAAAAGACTCAGAACTACCTTTCGGAGATTTGCTGTTTCGCTTAACCTCTTGAGCAAGAAACAGTTTACCATTCTCCAACTGCAGAATTTGCAGAATATTAAATATGACATTTCACAGCAAGCAAAATTTGAATTAACCTGCATGCAATGGGGCATATTGGGAGAACAGTTAACATGTTAGCAAGTCACACAGTCTTAAAAAGCATTGAAATGTTATTTCTGGTTTTATAGATTAAATCAATGGATTTAAACTTCTCTCAAAGATACAGACTGACAGGTTTTCAAGTTTTATTCCAATTTGTACGGCACAGGTAATGAAACACTGGTGCAGGATATGGATGATGTTAAGTTTTTTTTCTAAAGTTAATTTTCCATGTTTAGCTTTACCACAATGGCAGCTTTTTTTGGCCCCTTTGCATACTGAGGAAATTAGAAAAGCAATTACAGATATGACCACTGGGAAAACACCTGGTCTAGACAGGTTTCCAGTTGCTCAGTATAAAACATTTTCCATCCTCTGGTCCCAAAACTTTATCATCTTTATATTTATTTTAACTGGGCTCTTTCATCATTGCTAAATAATGCTTATGTCACTGTGATTCCGTCAGTCTGACAAATATATTTAATGATCGACCTATTCCATTAACTAACATTGATATCCAAATATTTGCTGCAGTTTTGGCCAATATGGTCCAGCAAGTTCTTAGGACACTAATTCAACCCAATCAGGCAAGTTTATTTTAATATAGAGTAGGGGCTGATCATCTTCGATTAGTTGATCCGATTGCTTTAAATGCTGACAGACAAACCCGGTTGCTATGGTTTCCTGAAAAACTGCAAAGGCCTTTAACAAAATCCACTGGAAATTTGTTGCGTTAAATAATGTTGGCTTTCCTGTATTTTTGAAACAGGAAAAAAATCTACCATCAACACCAAGACCTGGAGTTATGACCAATGTTCCTTTGTTTTGTTTATTTCTATATAATTTTTGAGGGGTACCAGACATGGGTATCAACTTTCCCCATTGTTACTTAGGATTGGAACCCTGTGATAGAGAATAGCAGTATTCACAGACTTGTGTACAATAATTTAGAACCCCAAATTATTCTTCATGCTGAAGGTATTTGACAGTTTTCCTACAGAAAATCTTCCCCTTTAGAAGTTTTCCTACCTTGGTAAGGTGCCTCTTTACTGTCCTCTTGCAGATTGGCTCCATGGTGCAAAGTTATCAGCTCTGAGGCCAAAAGCAGCTCTCGAGAAGTTAGCTTAACATAACAGGAAATTACCACTAAATGCTCACGATCGCAACCGATCTGGATTCTCAAGAAATGTTTCGAAGCCTTCTACCTAATGCAACATGAAACAGGCAGTGTGAGACTAGGCTGGGTCACGGGGAGCAGCCTGGGAAGCTCAGCCATGGGCTGCGTGTCACCCCCCACCCCGGACTCTGCTTCCCCCGTGCAACATGGCTGTAATGTCATGCGTGGGTGGCTTGGTTTGGTGAAAACGGAGAGCGCAGTGTCTTGTGGTAAGACCCAAGACTATGAATTTGCAAGAACCAGAAGATACTAAGGGTGCCGTTTCAGTGTGCAAAAGGTGGTCACACATATAGGCCAGGGCGACTTATTTTATATTGTTATTTTTTGTATTTTAACTTAATGTTTGTATTTTACAAACATTTTAACTTAATGTTATGTTAAGTTAATGTTTTAACTTAATGTTTGCATTTTAACTTAATGTTGTGAGCCGCCCCGAGGCTTCGGCGAATGGGGCAGCATAGAAATGTTTTAATAAATAAATATAGTTGAGTGTTCCAAGGAGAAGTGCCAGAACACATGAGAAGACCATGTTAAGGAAAAGCTGTTCAGGGAGGGGTCCGTGTCAACTGCATATAGAGACCACTTCAGGGTTAGTACAAATAATATAATGTTCAGTATCTTCCAATACTGTGTTCATGTATATTTTACGAATATAAATATGCTCATAAACATATATAAAATAAACATAAAATATACTCATGTATATTTCATATTTTACCAGGGGCACGACAAACAGAAATCAAACAGGTGCAGATCTGAGAGGTAATTTATATAGTTGAAATGTTTTCTTCCGCCTTTAGAGCTGCGTTTATCAGCAGAGACTGACAGAAGTTCAGGAGATGGCATTTCCCCAAGCATTTGATTGGGTGGTCCCTTTTCTTTAGCAAGTACAAAGTCAAAGGATGGCAAAAGTCAAGCCAGTTTGGGGGTCAAAAGCTATTTCCAGGATGAAAATCGAAAAAGTAGGGCAACTACCTATCCTCTTTGGCACCCCCTCCCTTCTTCACACACTCGCTCCTCCTGCAAGCATAGCAATAAATTGATGCAGAACAGACATGCCTTAAAATCAGTCGATCTTATCCACACACCTGTCAGAGAAAGCGAGAGGGCTGAACTCCACAGTGCATGGTCATCTCGACCTGTGCTAGACTCCTTTTGCTCTGCCTCCGAAAAGGCAATCTTTAAAGGGGTTTTTAGAACAAAAAGCTTTGTTTAGGAAACTTGCACTAGCGAAAGACGAGTTGCATGGTGCAGTAACAGCACTAAAACTGAAATTCCAATTTCAAACAAGCCATCCTGGCAGAAAGCAGCAAATGCTATTGCTTCTGATAGGTTGTGTTTGCGTCTCACTCTTAGGACTGCAGCTCAGAGGCTGTGACTTGGAATTATGTTTTCCCTCTTCTGTACAATATTGCCCCAATCATATTTAGCACACTGCAATTTGAGAGCTTCACAGACAGCAGGACTACCAGCCCAACTGGTTGCACCATGCTAGATCCAGACTCAGCTGAAGTTCCATGGATCAGATCTGATAGAAAAGCTGAACAGGAGGTATTTGTTTATATTCTCAGCTGCATACACATTCACATTAGAGAGGAGAGGAGAGGAGAGGAGAGGAGAGGAGAGGAGAGGAGAGGAGAGAGGAGTCAGCCCCTCTCAAAAAACGATGGCGCATGTGTTTCAGGAAAGCATGTACATAGTCATGCCTGCTTTAAGAGATTGCAAGAGACGCGTTTAAGAGTTCTACTTCAACTCAATTGTTACAGTTTTGGCAGTGATGCAGTGTGGTAAGACTAGGGAGACTCGGGTTCCGCTTGGCCACAAAGCTCACTACGTGATCTTCGAACCGCTCGCCCAACCCACCCACAGGCTTTCTTCCCATGGGGTGGGAAGAGGGGACAGAGCAATGCAGGCGACCACGAGCTCCTTAGAGGCATAGATATAACCTGGAACATGAGACCCAACGCATGTTTACTCAGAAGTATGTTCAACAAGGCTCGTTTGCCGAGTATAAGTGTGTACAGGAATGCAGCCTGGGAAAAGGGTGCTCAGGGAACTGCTCTGTGGCAGGAACCCACACGGACTAAGACCCACTTGATCCTGCATGAAGCGTCTGAAAGAACTGCGAACACCACAGACCAGGATGATTAAAAGTGCTTGTTTATCCCTGTTCTGATGGCTGCAAAAGACCAGCCCAGAGCTTCAAGACCGATGCTGGAGGGAGCCAAGGCTGGGAGGAGCTCACACCACAATCCTTCAAGGAGGGGATGGAACACCCTTGCCTTCTGCAGGGGGCGGGTCCCCACCAGGCCGCGTCACATGGTAAGGCCCCGGAAACTAGGCTCTGTGCATAGTGGCGGCACAGGTTGCTGGGTCAGCAGCTTCTCAAGGACTTTCAGCTCGGCGTCACGTTTCTCGATGTTGTCTGAAGGTGTCCAGGACAGGTCGTGCTGCAGTTTGTAGGAGCCAATGAACTCACTGGGACACTTCTCTCCCCATTCCTGCGGATGATGGGAATGGAGGAGCGATAGTGGAAGGAAGGAAGGAAGGACAGAAATGAAATACATATTAAGCTCCATCATGCCTGGGCCAAAAGCTGCTCTGAGCTGAAGGTGGGGGATGAAACGTCAAGTCTGATCACTTCTAATGATCTCAGCATACACTCTTGATGCTCACAGCTGTGTGTTCTCTCTCACCAAAGCGGGCTTAAATCTCTCTGGGTCTCAGGTAACTTCTTTGCAGGGCTCGGCTGTTAAACACACAGAACTATCTGAGGAATAGTATAGCCAGGGGTAAGTCAACAAGGCCAACCTGGCCATCCTCACTGTACCCAAGTCCCTTAGCCAAGCGAAGCCTTGGGCGTGTTGCTCCAGTTCTCCCTGCTGGTTTCCCAGTTCCAGCACCTCTGACTCTGTTTCTTCTGAGAATCTCTTCTTGCTGATTTTCTCTTTTTCCTGAGACTTGTGTCCCTTAAAGGCCGGTGGTTCTCCTTTCCCAGCTCTAAGCCAACAGGTGGGTAGTTTGTATAAATTACATTTTTCCTCCTAGAGTTTAAAGCTGTCTCTTTTTCATGCTCTGACCATCTGCTGAATGCTTTAAGTGTCCAGCTTTCCTGAGCAAGCTTCCTGACTTCCACATTCTATCTAGACATTAACCTCTAAATGATTAACCTTTTGGCTGACTAGTAAAAAACACACACACACACACACACACACACACACACACCCCTAACCCCATAATGTCCTAAAACCAAACTTAACGCAAACAAGGTGGACCGTTCTGTTCTTCCACATTAGATGAAATGATTGTGTAAGAGAAACAAAATCTGTACCATTGACACGGAGCAGAAACTGCAGTTATTACTCTGTAAGTTAAAAGTTCAGAGAGATGCCACATTGACTTCAAAAGCACCCCCCGCCCCTTCCAGGATGAAGAAGACTGTCCCTCCTCTAAAAGCTGCCTGCTACCACGTCCAAATATGGATGCTAGAATTGTCACACCTTCTGCTTTCCAGACTCTCAAGCGCATGTCTTTCCCTGTCACCCATTTCTAATTGGAAATGCCAAGCACAGAAACTGAGCAAGCATGTCCTGTTAAGAGAGACATAGAGAGAGGCTAAGAGAAGTATATTGCTGCCAAAACATAACATCACAGAACAGGAGAGCTGGAAGGGCCAGAAGGCCCTCAGGTCCAGTCCCCTGCCATTACAGGACATTAAGTCACACCGTACCATTCAAATGACTGCCCAGATGCTCGCTGAATGATTCCAATGAGGGAGAGCCCACAGCTTCCCCAGGTTCCATTGTTGAACTGCTTTGACAGTGAGTAAATTCTTCCCGTTGTCTAGTCTAAATCTGGTTTCTTTTAACTTAAGCCTGTTCTTCTGTGTCCTGCACTCTGGAATGGACAAGATCTTGCCCTTCCTCTTTGTGGCAGCCTTTGAGGCACTTATAGAGGGAATCACGTTCCCCATCTGTCTTCCCTTCTCGAGGCTGAACATGCCCAGTTCTCTCAGCCTCTCAAAGGGCTTTGCCCCCAGTCCCGGAATCAACCTTGTTGCCCTCCTCTGAACCCTTTCCAGCTTTTCTGCACCTTTTCAAACTGTGATGCCCAGAACTGAACCTAGTACCCCACGTGCTGGAGGTCTAACCAGCGCTGACTATACATGAATGAGGTACAGCTTTTATGACGCCGCTGTCCTTCCCTTGGTCCCTTTCAAAAGCAAAGTACCTTTGGCGAAAGCATGGAGAAATAACGCTGGCCGTTTTCCCGCCTGTACAGATGGTAGATGTTGCCGGGCTTCTTCACAAAGTTGCAGGCCACATGGTGCAGGTCTGCATCTCTGCTCGCATCCTCCAAGACCTAAAAACATCCAAGACAGACTTGTGATCATCCCTCCTGGAGAGAGCGAACGAACGAAGAAATCCAGAACCTAAAGCAGTCTGAGAGTACATTAATATGCGAAGGGAAGACCTTCCTGAGTATGGTTCAGAAACGGATCTGATTGGCTCAAGGGGCAGCCAAGGAGGAGTGTGGTCTACAGCAAAAAGCAGTGGGTGGGCAAAGGCAAAAAGCCCAAAATACCAGTGTAAGAGCTTTCTCTTACCACTACTGACCATAAATAAGCCTTTACAATGGTACAAAAGGCCCCAAACCTAGGAAGCCACCCAATGACTGGAGGCTGGGGGAAAGGGTGGAGCCAGGAGACGTGGACAAGGCCTTCTGGGCAGCCTGGAGGGTTGGACTGGCACCCCAGGGGGCCAGGTTTGGCTCCAGGGTATGAAGTTATGCAGCCTGATCCAAACTTCCCAGTCTGAAGTCCTTCTCACCCCTATCTAGAGAAGGGGAGGCTGGATTATGGGACCTGTGAAGCAGGCCTTCCACCACTGGGCTTCAGCCCTTCCATGAAGGCACAGGAAACTGTCTTCCATTTGTCCTTCTTGCTCAGTATCACACACACTGCCTGGCAGAGGCTCGGCATTCCATCTGAGGGTCTTTCCATCCTAAATGCGATGGTCCAAGACTTAATCTGGGAAATTCTTCAAACGAAGTGTGCACTCTACTGCAGAGATGCAGCCAGGTATCTTTGCAAAAACACCGAAGGAAGAAATTGGCAGTGCAGCTCCACACAATACTCCTCCAAGGTAAGTTCCGTGGATCTCAGCGAGAACCAGGCCCAAGGGAGTGGGTGCATCTGTTAACATTCACGGATTGCAAGATTGCGAGTACCTACTTGTGACGTCACATTGCTAGACCATTCCTAATTTTAAAATCTTAAGCAGCGGCTTGGTACAAATTAATCAAATCGGGCCACTCTAGATCTAACTATTTAGCCAATATCCCTTGCAGCAGGCCATTATCCTCACACTCCAACAGAGTGCTGTGTATATATTTGTGGTTCTTCTACAGTGGAGAATCTTCCCAATTGCATGATATCCTGCCTGCCTTATAGAGTTGCAAGAGATCAATTCCCAGCTGCATAGTTAGCATGGGTCTTTCCTCCGTCTCCATTTGCAGAGGTCAAGAGTTTTTAAATCTTTTTCTCCAGAGGAAACTCTCTTTACAACAGCACAAACCATTCTAGAAATAACACATTCGCAACGGACCCCATCCCACATTACCTTCCTAGCTTGCTCTCGTAAGTAATGAATTTGTTCCGCAATAACAGTCAACCTGTTGCAGGCATTCGCCCGGACAAACTCGTCAGCCTGGAAGTGAAGAAAATGAGTGAAACTGAGATATTATTGTTGGTGCCTCAGGGAAAAAATCCACAGTTGCAATGGCTTTATTAACACCCAACCAAAACACCACAAAATATTGTGTAAGTTTTCTGGTGTTCCAGCATTCTTCAGCAGGCCACAAAAAGCAGGGAATGGAGCCAGATGCTGCCATAAACACTAAGGTTTACATTCACTTTCAAAGGAGATTGCAGATTGCATGAGTTTGCTCTGAGAAGATGCTGCAGGTAAATTCAGTCTATCTTGGGACAAAGAAATAGGCAACACAAACACCATTTCTGAAAAAAGAAAACATTAGCTTCTGCCTAACATTTTGGGACAGGGAACAATGACTGATTTGCGGTTTTAGAAACAGCACAGATGTAGCTCAGATCTGTTCTCTTGCCTCAAGTAAAATACACCAGTTTCTGGGAAGAAGCAGGGCAGTCTTTCTATTGGCAAAGCCCGAAATTTACATCAGGGGTTACACTAAGTAAAAGAATAAATAAAAGGGTAAACGGATGCTGAATTGCATAGCATTAAAGGAAACGGAGCCCTCAACCTGCAACTTTTGGTAGCAAATACATTGCAGTAGGTGAATATGAGGAGATAAGTAACATACTGAACAGATGTTGTGGTCCTGGCTCATAGCTGCCATTGTGTTGCAGATTCTAGTACTGTCTAGACTAGACCAGACAGTACTGTTGTTGTTTGTAGCTTTTATTCATTGCTGTTTTGTCCCTGCATGGTTTGTTGTTGTTGTTACCAGAAATGTTGTACAGTTAAAAAACAAACATCTTGGGAGGATTGTCTGCCCTGAAAGGTAGCCTACAATAGTGGCAATAAATTCATAAGCATCACAAGTGACTTTTTAACTCAGCAGCAGCAGCCAGTGTCTGTTTTAAGATCGGGCCCGTGTGGGGCAGGGGTTCAGAGCGTGGGTCTGTGACTCAGGCGACCTGGGTTCCTGCCCCCGGGCTCAGCCACGGAGCCAGCTAGGTGACCGTGGGCCAGCCACAGACTCGCAGCCCATCCTGCCCCCGCTCCCTCCGTTGGACTCGCAGGAACCAGCCCCTTAAGTCCCTGCCAAGCCCAGATGAGGATGCGAAGAACACAGAATGAAGCAGCCCACAGTTTGGGAACAGCCCACGGCGCGGACACAAAGACTCGGCCATAGAGCCGCTTTGCAAGGGAGAAAGCTCGCCGATCTCGCCAAGGGGCTCTCGGCTGACTGCCGGCTCCGCTTCCCACGCTTTCTCTGGGGTTAGACCCACGGCCTCTCTGGGCAGGTGAGCGCACCAACCCTCTCTTCCAGAAGGACTCTGCATATGCTCAGAGGCAGACGGCCGCACGCACTCTGCACATGTCCAGAAACACCGCACTCACCTTTTCCACTTGCTGGGCCAGAGCCACCAAGTCCGAAGGCGCCGCTTTCCGGGCGGAGGCCGCCAATCGGAAGACCTCGCAGGAGCCGCGCTCAGCCAGCGCCAGCCCGTCGGGAGTCGCCTCCGCGGCAGCCGCCACTCCGCCGGCTCCAGCCGGCGCTTCCGCTCGGGCCGCCATTCCGAGCACACACAGGCTCCGCCCCCGCCCGCCATTGGATGTCCTGCGCGGGAGGTGCAGCTCCGGGCTCAGAGGCGATTGGGCGGAGCCCGCGTGCGGGGCGGAGCTTCGAGTCCGCCCAATTGGCAGCGGAGAAGGAGTGACGCGAGAGCCCAGAACAAAAGGGCAGGAGCCTCTGGACATTCTGGGGCGTGGCTTGGCCTCGCCAATCCGAGACCTACTTGCGGGAGGAGGTGACGTACAGCGGGAAGGCGGAGCTTCTCGGCGTACGCAAAGACCTGCATAGAGCTGCGACAGAAGAGGGGACCGGAGAATTGAGTTCCGAGTCTCGCTAGATCTTCGCGCTCTGCGCGCAGCACAAACCCAGGTGGAAGGAGCAGCCCGCGCAATCGATGCGGGGGCTGCGACTGTGCAGCAGCGGGCGCCCCCGCCCCCGAAGCGGACACGCAGGGCTCCTCCTGCCCCAGGTGGGATGCCGATCCTGCTACCTGCAGTACGGATGGCTCCCTAGCAAACGCCTTTTGTTTGCAGCCCGAGTTACGCGCTTGTTCCGTTCTGAACAAGCCCCACGGAGTCCAGTACAGCCGCTCCAGCGACTGCGAGGTCGTGGGTGTGCAAATCGCAATTTTTGTGAAGAGCTCATGCCCGGCTTATTGGTACTCGTGACACCGAATAACACGGCATTCCTTTGTTATTTCAAGGCAGCGCTATGAGGTCAACCAGGCTGAGAGGTGATCGTTGCCCAAAAGTCACCCAAGAGCCTTCACGGGTTGGGGAATTTGAACTCAGGGCTCCCTCACTTCGGACCAACAAGCAAGCGCAGCTCCAAGCAGTCTCGTCCCTCCAGGTGCCTTTCCTGAGGCCACCAAGGAAAAGCAAGCAGCAGCCCCCTGCACTGCGTGGAGATCCAGCTCCATGGCACGCCGAGGCTGCGCCTAACACTGCAGCACCCGAGCGTGCGTTTTCCTCCTCCCACCCAATCCGCTTTCCTTTCGTGCTGGGTCTTTTAGGAGGTCAGTGGAAGAGCTCTTTCAGCCGAACAGCAGGGTCAAACGGTTGCAGGGAATGCCCCAACACCGCCTTTTTGAAAGAGGACGGGCACTGCTCTTCCAAGGTCCTCCCGCGGAAAAGAGAGAGAGGTCCGCCTGGCGCCGTCGTTATTTGTTTTTCGGCGCCAGGCGAAGACCTTTTTATTTAAGCAGTATTTTAAATGTTAATATTATTGAATTTTATTTGGCCAGGGCGGCTTGTTTTATAGTGTATGTTTTATATTATATATTTGTATTTTATTGTATATATTTTAAAATGTTATTTTAATTTTGTTGTAAGCCGCCCCGAGGCTTCGGCGAATGGGGCGGCATAAAAATGTTTTAATAAATAAATAATAAATAATAAAAGGCCTCCCCGGCAGCCCGCCCCTCCTCCTGCTCTCCGCAGCATCCTCGGGGCCTCGGGCCGGGGCGGCCTCCCCCTCGGGACCAGCCGTGCGGAGGCGGCCACACGTGCATCCCACCGCGCGCTGCGAGCAGCTGTGCCGGAGCAGCCGGGCCGGGCCGGGCAGGGCCAAGCCTGCCGACGTGGAGCCCGGCGGCGCCGCGAAAGGGGCGGGCGCTCGGCTGCGGGGCGGGCGAAGGGGGCTCTGCGCCGGCGGGGGCGGGCCGGGTCTCGGCCGCGCTCTGGGCCCGCGCGAGGCTCGCCCTTTCGCGGCTGGCCCTCGG